CAAACATATGGTATCTGTCTTTCTCTGCCTGACTTATTTTCACCCTCTACTTCCATCCATATTGCTACAAATGGCCAGATTCCATTCTTTATCATTGCCGTGTAGTATTCCACTGTATAAATATACCACATCTTCTTGATCCATTCATCAGTTGATGGACACTTAGGTTCTTTCCATGTTTTGGCCTTTGTTGAGAGTGCTGCTTTGAAGATTGGGGTACATGTGCCCCTATGCATCAGCACACCTGAATCCCTTGGGTAAAGTCCTAGCAGTGCTACTGCTGAGTCAGAGGGGATTTCTATTGTTAACTTTTTGAGGAACTCCCATACTGTTTTCCAGAGTGGTTGCAACACTTTACATTCCCACCAACAGTGTAGGAGGGTACTCATTTCTCCACATCCTCACCAGCGTCTAGAGTCTCCTGATTTGTTCATTTTCGCCACTCTAACTGGTGTAAGGTGGTATCTCAGTGTGGTTTTGATTTGTATTTCCCTGATGATGAGGAACGCTGAGGGTCATTTTATGTGTTTGTTGGCCATCTGGATGTCCTCTTTGAAGAAGTGTCTGTTCATGTCTTCTGCCCATTTCTTCATGGATTATTTGTTTTTCAGGTGTGGAGTTTGGTGAGTTCCTTAGAGATTTTCATTTGCAACTATCTTTTCCCATTTTGTCGGTTACCTATTGTATTGATTGTTTCCTTTGCCGTGCATAAGCTTTTTATAATGATGGGGTCCCAGTAGTTCATTTTTGCTCTTGATTCCCTTGCTTTTGGGGATGTGTTAAGTAAGAAATTGTTGCAGTTGAGGTCAAGGAGGCTTTTTCCTGCATTCTTTTCTAGGGTTTTGATGGTTTCCTATCTCACATTCAGTTCCTTCATCCATTTTGAGTTTTTTCTTTTTTTTAATAAGAGAAGGATAGTCTTTTTATTTTATTTTTTTTTACAAATAGTTTATTGTCAAATTAGTTTCCACATAACACCCAGTGCTCATCCCCCCAAGTGCCCTCCTCCATGCCCAACCCCCCTCCCCCCCACATCCATCAGTCCTCAGTTTTTGTTAGCATTCAAGAGACATTTTGAGTTTATTTTTGTGTATGGTGCGAGAAAATGACCTAGTTTCATTCTTCTTCATGTTGTTGTTCAGTACTTCCAGCACCATCTGTTAAAGAGGCTATCTTTTTTCCATTGGATACTCTTTCCTGTTTTGTCAAAGATTAGTTGGCCGTATACTTTTGGGTCCAATTCTGAGTTCTCAATTCTATTCCATTGGTCTATGTGTCTGTTTTTGTGCCAATACCATACTGTCTTGATGATGACAGATTTGTAGTACAGGCTAAAGTCTGGGATGGTGATGTTTCCCATTTTGGTTTTCTTCAATATTACTTTGGCTATTCGGGCTCTTTTGTGGTTTCATACAAATTTTGGGATAGTTTGTTCTACTTTTGAGAAATATACTGGTGCAATTTTGATTGGGATTGCATTGAATGTGTAGATTGCTTTGGGTAGTAATGACATTTTGACTATATTTATTCTTCTGACCCATGAGCATGGAATGTTTTTCCATTTCTTTGTGCCTTCTTCAATTTCCTTCATAAGTTTTCTATAGTTTTCATCATACAGATATCCTATATCTTTGTTTAGGTTTATTCCTAGGTATTTTATGGTTTCTGTGCAATTGTAAATGGGATCAGTTTCTTGATTTTCCTTTCTGTTGCTTCATTATTGGTGTATAAAAACACAACCGATTTCTGTACATTGATTTTGGACCCTGTAACTTTGCTGAATTCATGTATCAGTTGTAGTAGGCTTCTGGAGGAGTCTGTCGGGTTTTCTATGTAGAGTATCATGTCTTCTGTGAAAAGTGAAAGTTTGACTTCCTATTTGCCAATTCTGATGCCTTTTATTTCCTTTTGTTGTCTGATGGCTGATGCTAGGACTTCGAGCACTATGTTAAACAACAGTGGTGAGTGGGGCGCCTGGGTGGCTTAGTCGGTTAAGCATCCGACTTTCGCTTAGGTCATGATCTCGCGGTTCTTGGGTTCGTGCCCCGCGTCTGGCTCTTTGCTGACTGCCTGCTCAGAGCCTGGAGCCTATTTCGGGGTCTGTATCTCCCTCTCTCTCTGACCCTCCCCTGCTCATGCTGTCTCTCTCTCTCTCCTAGAAATAAATAAAAATATTAAAAAAAAATAAAAATAAACAACAGTGGTGAGAATGGACATCCCCGTTGTGTTCCTGATGCCTTTCTTCATCCCTTGTTACTGTCTTTACTTTAAAGTCCAGTTTGTCTGATATAAGTATAGCTACTCCAGCTTTCTTTTGACTTCCAGTAGGATGATAGATATTTCTCCATCCCCTTACTTTCAATCTTAAGGTGTCCTCCAGTCTAAAATGAGTTTCTTGTAGATAGCAAATAGATGGATTTTGGTTTTTTATCCATGGTTTAGTGGTGACAGCTTCTTTGAATTTTTGTTTATTTGGACTTTTATCTCTCCTTCTATTCTGAATGACAGGCTTGCTGGATAGAGGATTCTTGGCTGCATATTTTTTCTGTTCGTCACATTGAAGATTTCCTGCCATTCCTCTCTGGCTTTCCAAGTGTCAGTAGATAGGTTTTCACCACTCTGATAGGTTTCCCTTTGTATGTTAGGGCCCTTTTATCCCTAGCTGCTTTCAGAATTCTCTCTTTGTCCTTATATTTTGCTAGTTTCACTATGATATGTCGTGCAGAAGATCTATTCAAGTTACGTCTGAGGGGAGTTCTCTGTGCCTCTTGGTTTTCAATGTCTATTTTCTTCCCCAGATTGGAGAAGTTCTCTGGTATAATTTGTACACGGACTCCTTAAGTACCTTTATCTCTCTCATCCTCTTTTGGAATTCTTATGATCAGGATACTGTTCCATTTGATTTTGTCTCTCAGCTCTCATACTCTCCTTTTGTGTTCCTGGATCCGTTTATCTCTCTTTCTCAGCTTCCTCTTTTTCTATGATTGTGTCTTCTAAATCACTTATTATCCTTTCTGCCTCTTCAATCCGTGCATTGGACGCCTCTATTTTATTATGTATCTCATTTATAGCATTTTTTAATTCATGACAACAATTTTTAAGCTCCATAGTCTTTGTAGCAATAGTTTATCTGATGTCTTTCATGCCTTTTTCAAGGCCAGCGATTAATTTTATGACTATTGTTCTAAGTTCTTGTTCAGTTATGTTGCTTCTATCTGTTTTGAGCAGTTCTTTAGCTGTCATTTTTTTTAAATTTTTTTTTTAATGTTTTATTTATTTCTAGGAGAGAGAGGGAGACAGTGTGAGCAGGGGAGGGTCAGAGAGAGAGGGAGTCACAGACTGAAACAGGCTCCAGGCTCCGAGCTGGCAGTCAGCACAGAGCCCGACGCGGGGCTCGAACCCACGAACCGTGAGATCATGACCTAAGAGAAAGTCAGATGCTTAACCGACTAAGCCACCCAGGCTCCCCTAGCTGTCATTTTTTTCTGGAAATTCTTTGGAGGAGAGCTCTTTTGTTTCGTCATTTTGGTTAGCTTTCTATCTCTTGTTAATTTTAAAAGCTTGTTATGCACTCTGCCCTTGTTGGTGCTGCTGTATTAAAGTTGGCTTTTTGACTGTCCAGGGCCTGTCTGTTCAGGAAGTGTTCCTTGAATGGTGTCTCTTGGTTTCTCTTGTTGAGACTTTGGTTATTTTATTTCCCTACTCATAGTGCTATTAGGGACTCTCCACCATGTGTACTTTGGCTTGTTTCTTGTAGTAGCCACACTTATGAGGTTGCCTTCCCAATGTACTCTGTCTCTTTCTCTTCCCAAACCCCTGTGGCTCAGTGTCCTATGGCTTCAGGCATTCTCTGTTTGAGAGATGGGTGCAAGCGAAATGCACGGAGCTCCCTACTTCTCCGCCATCTTGCCTCTACTCTTTTTTACTTTTTAAGTAGACACGTTTTAGAATATAATTTAGTAAACATGCATTCTATTTCATTTTTCCTAGATTCACTATTTTTCTTTTTTTGCTTACACTTGTTGACAGAATCTTGTCCACTAAAATCTGTCTGCTGATAATTTTGTTCAGTTTTTCTAAATTCTTATTGCTTGTTTTTATGGCCTGTGATTTTGTACATTTGATGTTAATTACTAGTGTTTGAGGTTTTCTTTTGTTGTTGTTGTTGTTGTTGTTTTTAGACAGGATGTGTTCAAATCCTGCAGGTCAGTAAGGCATCCACTGTGTGCAGTGTGACGTCTGTGCCTGTATGTGTGAATATGGGAGGGGACTGTTCATAACTTTACTATCAGCTCTCAGGTTCCCTGTGCTTGGACTTTCTCCTGAGCGAATCTTGGTTTCCTCCCCATGTGTACAGATTTTTTCCACTAGCTAAGAGTGTGTGCAGAGCTCATGTCAACTCCTTTTTTAGAGGATCACAGCTAGTATCTGTCCATTATGTTTATGGAGACCCCAGTGCTTGAAACAAACATCGTCTCCTCTGACCACTGAAAGTATGGGTTTTCTTCATCATTACCGACCACAATCAGCACGTGGAGATCAAAATTCAACGAGCACTTCGCCCCCATCCCCCTGTTGATCAAGTCTCCCCCCGTGGCACCAGCACGATCGCTCTTGGCAGCTTCTCCCAATTGTAACAGATGCCATCTTCTTGGTCACTGAGCTCGAGGTCGCACGTGGGGAGACATGGAAGCATCCTAGGTGAGAAGATTACACGTGTGTTTCTTACTTGAATCTCAAGGTTTTTTTCCATTAAATATGTCTTCGGTTTTTAACCTTTGATCCATTTTCAAAACTCTGAAATTGTTATCATTCTCCAATTGTTGTCTTCACTTATTCCTACCAAGATACTTTTATACTTAAGTGTCAAGTGTGTAATGTTATATGACAATTTAAAAGTTTCTATAAAGTAAGAAAAAACTAAATTTTATTTAGTACTACAAATTTACATGAATATAAGAGCTTTTCTTTGATTTCTAATAAAATTTATTTTCTCCTAGTTTTCGTCGAATTTATTCTCTCTTCTGACATGGATTAGAGTCTCCCACAGAAGAGATCAAAATTCACCTGTGCAGGCAAAAGGCGTAACATTTGCTTCCACTGAGTAAGTTTCCTGACAACTTTTGATTTTGTGCCTCACAAGAATTAATCTTAGAAAGCAAACACAATGTGTGATCAATCAGATACCCACAGTTGTTGAAATTTTACAAAGAAAAAAGTATGGGATATTAAGGTTTATATATATAATTATTAGTCAAAATGAATGATTTACTCATCAGAATGTTATGGTATATATTGGTAACATTAATGAGATACAATTCTCTGTGTTTCAGGTTGTCAGTATCTTCAGAGAGTGAGAAGAATTGTATATGTGCCGCTTTGGGTATAAAAAAATTTTATTTTTTACCCTGCTCAGAAAAAGACCATATGTTTGTAAGCACCAGGCATTTTAGTTTCCTGATTTTAGCATAATGCAATTTCACCATGTATAAACTATACATGTCTCCTTACTTCAAAAGCTAATCAATTATTTTCTCTGCATATGTTTAAGATATTGTTTTTCAGTGTAATTTTGGGTTCATGACAAAATTAAAAGGAGGGTACTGAGATTTGGTACAGTCCTCCTTTCTGCACATGTGCATAGCCTCTCTCATTATCAACATCACTCACCTAAATGTTTCATTTGTTACCAAGGAAAAATCTGCACCAATGCATATCTATCACCCAAAGTCCAAAGTGTCCCTGAGGCTTCACTCTTGGTGTTATAGAACTGTGTCTCAAATTTAATTATATTAATGCAAAACAATGTACTCCAGAATATATTATTTATTTCTTAAGTCTTTGATATTCAGTAAAATAAATTATATATATATATTACAAATCATAACATTAAAGTAAAATTCTCAATAAAGAGAATAATTCCATTTATATTATCAAGAAAATTGCTTTCTCCTAGCCCTTAGAGGGACTCACATGATGACTACACGACCCAGATTGACAAGAGTATCAGTGAGAATTGAGTCAGGAGACAGAAAGAAGGGGACTTTTGAGGGAGACAATTATTATCAACTTATAAGCGAAAGTTTGTTAACAGGAGAGGCTACTAAGATGAAGAAAATTACAAAGAATACCTTAGAGTTGAAGGAGAGATCACTGGGAAGCGGGTTTACTCTCTGGATATGGGATTTAGAAGTCACCGAAGACGGTGTGGGGGACACACAACCTCATGGCACACATGACTCCTTGGATTGGCCTGGGAAGCAGGTCCACACTCCACAGGCTGAACTCAGTGAGGATGGATCTCAGGCCACGACTGGCAGGCAGGAAGAACTCCCTGTCTGAGGATTAGGAGGCAAGACCAGAAGACAGAAAACTGACAGATTGGCCACAAGAAATTACTGTAGGACGAATACACAAGATTTCCTGCAAGCATGCAACTGGCAACCAAACCTTAGCAGCCAAAGGAGAAAAAATGCCATGAAGCCAAGTAAAAGAGCCCTTTCTGCTGCACTGTCTCTCCGTTGTCTTTTACCAACAAAAGTCACCTTCATGTGAGATGACCAGGGAGAAAACTGATACGATCTTGCATTGTTATCTGAGAACAGGGAACTGAGGGTGATTTGGAGCTGAGGGTACTAAATTAACGGCCCCTCAGGTTACCATGTAACAACCACAGGGCTGCTGTGTGAGAGCCATTCAGATCGGCCCCACTTCCTCACAGAGTGGAACCAAAGTGTAGTCTCTGAATCTGCTTTAGGCAGCGCTATCAAAGATTATACTCATTTCGAGGTAGAGATTCATTTCTAATTGGATAATAACCAGTGTCCTTTGATACTTTTTCTTATAAGTTGTTTTGCTCACCTGGGTTTAGATATTAAGGAAGAGATTAGTTGTTGTTTCTTTCTACAAATTTTTTATGTACCCACTTCTGTCAGTCTTTACAGCCATGCTCAAAAATAATTTGAGAGAAAAAATAAAATGTTAAATGATGAAAAACCAAAAAATTAAAATGGACAGATATTTGTATGTGTCAAACAATTAGTTTTTGCCAGAATTCAAAACGCTTTTGAATATTTGACAGTGATTCAGAGATATTCTACCCTAATCCAATATTAAGAAGAAGAGAGATTTAACTTGATTATTATTGCAAAATAAATTCATATTTCAAATACATTTATATCTGTGAAGATAGACATATTCTTTATGTTCTCTGTACATGATTCTTATACTCTTCTAGAAGAACTATATGAATATTCAAAATGAATTCAATATAATTTTTTATGGTAGCTGCAACTAATTACTAAAGTTGTGTTTCATACCACCCAAGATTGCAATGACATTGAAAATTAAGCATTTATTTTTCATTCACCTGCATGTAATTTTGGGTATGTTAAGGTTGATGGAAGCTGGGCATGCATGGACTTGACTCCCGACTACATACAGATTCACTCAGATCTCTTTCTAGATTTCATTCTTAGAAGAGTAGGCCACCTGGTGTATGATCTTTTATAGCAGAGGTAGCAGCTAGCAGAAATGTGTTTCTTACTGCCTGGTCTCTGAGCTCATAAGCCATCATATTTCCACTCACATTAATTTGTGAAAACAAGTTGTCACATGCCTACTCACGTTATATTTTGAGAACAAATCACACGGGCAAACTTATCGTTTGTTGTCTGTATACACTTTTCAAACGGGTGTATACTTTATCAGATGGAAGAAATGTAGATTCACTGAAAATAACCTAATCTACCATGATAGCCATAGGGACATTTTTTATTATATTTCATGAGATGGATAAGTTTGTAAAAGAAAATTATTGGGACATGGATTAAACTTTTAGTACTGTCTTACCTTCCCATCTGGATTTTTTTCTTCTGTGCTGAAAATCCTTGTAAAACAGTTTGTTTAGTGCAAACATGATGTTATCGATGCTTTCAACAGGGTCCTTGATCAATTCCAAATAAGGAATAAGCATAATGGAATGAAGTCTGAAGACATTGGCAGTGAACGTGGTCACTTCATGTAATTTCTACCCACACACTCTTAGCCCTGGGGTTCAGTGATGTAACTTGTCTGGCTCACTTTCCTCTGCTTGAAAATATAATAGAAATAGTGCCTTATTCATATTGACACTTGAAGACTATTTGAACAGTACCTCTCGTCATATGAGTATTCACTAGATCTCAGATGTTTTGGCTTAAGAGCTTGATGTTTTTCTGCCATCACCTGTGACATTATAATCCTAATCATAGCAACTTCATCGGGTTTTTCTGAGAAATAAGTAATAATAAATAATATAATGTCTGAAGATCCTGAATACAATGTGCACCAACATGATGTTCTTGTTGTCTGTGATCTCTTTCTATGTTGCTTTTCCTAATTATTCAATAAAAACCATTTTCCAATGAAGCTCTATACTTGTTTTCTTTGTTCTACCCAATGAAAGCCAGGCATCAGAAATGTAATCTCTCAACCATTTTAATCCTATACATCAAGGAAATTTGGATTTAAGAGTGAGAAATTGAATACACATCAGTATGGACACTAGAGCAATTATTTTGGTGTATGAGTTTCATAATTTGAAATTAAATTGCAATTAGTGTTCTTTCTCTTGTAGGTCAAGAACCCCAGTCTCCTCACAAAGTGTGTTATTTGGACATATTTGAGGCTGTCTCTTTTGCAACTGAACAATTTGAAGGGGATTGTCAAGCTGTGACACAATATCCTGTTTGATTCCTAGATTTGAGGACCCTAAAGGGTCCAAGGTGAAGAAGAGACTAAAAGCTCTTTCCTTTCCAATGTTGGAGTATCCCATCCACACATATGCAACTATTATCATAAAGAATGGAGAAAAGTAAGAGATGCCGCTGAACACATTCTGATGGGGACACCTCCAGATGTTCTCCCAAAGTACACTTTACATATGTAAAAGGGTGCCTAAGTTACTACCTGTACCCATAAGAAGCTATGGGAGTAACTCACAAGTTTGGGTTAGGGGATTCACCAAAATCAGTGGAGATACACAATTATGGAACATTACTAGGGAACTGCTAATCAAGAAATAATTGAAAACAGAAAAAGTCACAGACAAGTCAGTGATATCATGATCAAACTGGAAATTTTCTCTGTGTCCCCCTTTGGGAGAACATAGATATTGAACATAATGGACTTGTTATTTTGGATTCCAGAATTAAATAGTACCCATTTAGGAATAAACTCAGAGGAATATGGTGCCCGTTTAAAGCGTACTGTTGGGACGAGAAGCAAGATGGCGGAGAAGTAGGGAGCTCCATACTTGCACTCACGCCCATGCCTCACATGGAAAAGATCTGAAGCCATAGGAAACCTTATGAAACCCAAGAGATTGGGAGAAAAAGGACGCAGAATCCACTGAGAAAGCCTTCTAACGTGAGTGCGAACTGGGGGAGATAAAATCGGGCCTGGATCGGAGACTGGAAGGACAGGCGATCCCCCTCTGCGGGGAGTGAGAGGGGAAACAGAGAGAGAGTCTGAAACAGAAAAACCTCCACTCGGGGAAAAAACCTCCTCTCGGGGCGTACAAAGACCTTGCGCACAAAATACCTGCGCACCTGGCCCCCACGCGCGCGCTCGCCCCAGAGGGGTAACGCTCGCGGACTGCTTCTTTGTGCGGGCTCCTGGCTGGCTGGGAGAAGCTGCGCGCCTGCTGCCATTGCCCTCCTGGCAGGCGTGGGCCCCTGGAGGAGCCGCGCGCAGGCACCGGGCGTCCGCGCACCTGGGTGCCTGGAGCCCTGGACGGAAGACAAAGAGCTAGAAATTGGGAGGTTTGCCCGCAAATTCGTGTTTTGGGTGAAGAGACACAGAGGGACCTCGATTTCCTCACTCTAGAGGGCTCAGCACGCCTGGCAGACAAGGTCCCCCGCCCCGCCCAGGCCCCCCAGCCCGAACGGGAGGAGAAGGGAGCAGCGGCTTCTGGCTCCACCCCCAGAGCCAGGCAGGAGCCTGGGAATTGCCCTGAGGGGGTTGCCAGGGGACTGCCTGCGGCAATTTCAGCGGGGCACGGGGACTGGGATTTGGAGGCTGGGACTGGCCCGGGTTGAAAAGGGCAACAAACTTTGGCTGAGCCCCTGGCCCTGGGAGTGTACACGCCCATAAAAGCCAGGTGGAGCGCCGCCACTCTCTTCCCTACAACGCCAAGGCAGAGCTCCCGCCTGATGCATTGGACCACACCAAGCTCATCCCTGCTTGACAGCTACCTTCCTCCCCTTCGCCTTTTTTTTTTCTTTTCTTCTTCTTTTCTTTTTTTTTTCTTTTTTTCCCCAGAACACTGACCTGATTAATTCAGGTCACGGGCGTGCTTAAACAATCACATTTAGTCCATTCTGTAGATGTAACTTCTACACC